GAAAAATAGGCAAATCTCCCTGAACATATATGCAAAAAAATTCAATGAAATACACATGGAATTAAAAAAACACATCAAAAGGATCATTCACCATAATCGAATTGGCATCCTTCCAGAGATGCAAGGATGGTTCAACACATACAAATTAATATATGCAATATATTACACAAATGGACTCAAGGGCAGAAATCACACGATCATCAATAGATGCAGAAAGTACTTTTAACAAAATCTAACCTCCTTTCATGATAAAAGCTCTGAAGAAATTAGGAATAAAAGGAACACGTCTCAATATAATAAAGGCCAAATGATAAACCTATAGCTAATTTTCTAATAAAAAGAGATCAACTTTAAGTATTTCCACTAAAGTCAGGAACAAGAGAAGGCTGTCCACTTTCTCCACTTAATACAGTGCTTGATGTCTTCGCTAGAGCAATAAAACAAGAGAGGAAAATAAAAGGGGTAAAAAAGTAGGAAAGGAAGAAATAGAGGTGTCCTTACTTGAAGATAATATGATTCTTTATACAACGGATGCTTAAAACTCCACCAGAAAACTGATAAGCACTTCCAGAAAAATGGCAGGATACAAAAACCAATATCCAAGAATCTGTAGCCTTCTTATATATCAAATAATAAACATGCTAAAAAAGTAAAAAACAATAAACAAAAATTCCCAAGCCTCAGAAAAACAATTTTATTCACAATTGTTTTAAGAAACAAAGGTGGCTGTGGTGGTGAGATGGCCGATAAGTCTGACCATCTGAGTTCAATCCCCAGGATGCACACATGCACACACACACACACACACACACACACACACACACACACACACACTAAATAGGTAGGTAGGTAGGTAGATAGGTAGACAAAAAGAATTTCTACCCAGTTGAAAGAAATATTGGGAAAATGCCTATACTACCAAAAGCAATTTACAGATTCAATTCAATCTCCATCAGAATTTCACTAACCATCACAGAAGTGAAAATACAAACTACATTGAAATACCATCTCACCTTATTAAAGAGTTAACAAGAAAACAAATAGATACTGGTGAGGATGTGAACAAAAGGAAACCATTAGGTACTGCTGGTAGGAATGTAAACTAGTCCAGTCACTATGGAAATCAGTATGAAGGCTTCTCAAAGAGTTAAAAATAGATGTACCATCTGGCCCAGTTGTATACCACTCTTGGATATTTACCACAAAGTCTCCAAGTCAACATATCAAAAAAATACTTGCACATCAATGTTTAATGCAGTACTAGTCACAAAAGCCAAATTATAGAACCAATCTAGGTGTGTATTAACAAAGGAATAGATAAAGAAAATGTGGTTTATATATAGAATGGCAACTTTTTCAGCCAAAAGAATGAAGTTATGTCATTTGTGGGAAAATGGATGTAAGTGGAGATCATCATGTTAAGCAAAGGACAATATTCGTTTCTCTCATTTGTGTACCCTAGATTTGATTGGTTTGAGGGTAGAATAAGCTCAAAGTATATCATATACTTGCAAAAAATAATGGCCTTATATAATTCAGTATAATAGAGTAAAAAATAAAAATTGAAAAGGAGAAAGAAGAAATTGCCTCTCAGACTTGTGGGACACAATCAAGTAGGCAAACACACACATAATGGGTATTCCAAATCAAAGACAAGTAAAAAGGCCTGGAGAGATCTACTCTACAAACTAGTGCTTGAAACATTGCTTATCTTGGAAAAGACATAGACATCCAAGTCCATAAAGCTGAAAAGACTGCTAAAAATGGTCCTTTCAAAAGGACAAGACAAACAGACCATGCTCAACACACTGGAGAGAAGCATCAAGTCACAGACACAGATAAGAGAATCTCCATTAGACTAACAGAGTTCTTTGTAGAAACCTAGAATGCTGTATTCAAATTAATGAAAAACTGTCAACTAAAGACATAGCTATCCAGGAAAGTCATCCTTTAGTAAAGAAGAAATATTTTCTAAGATAGACCAAGAGAATGTATTACCCAACTGGTAAATACAATCATTCAATATAAGTACACAGAAGTTCACAACTCAATAGAACAGATGCACGAAAAAGTGAATTAAATCCTGCTGACACAGAAAACCACCAAACCACAATGGTGAATGAGAAAAAAAAAAAGAATGTATGAAACAACAAGACCAAAATGAGGAGCATATATCATTAATACCTTAGAAGTAAATGGAGTAAATTTCTCAAAAGATACAGCCTGGTTGGTGGAAGACAAACACTAGATCCAAGGATACAATGCCTAGAGTACATATACACAGCCCGAGCACGAAGAAAAGAGAAGACAGCAGCAAACAAACCCACTCTACACCTACAGCAGATATAAGAGACTTCAAAAACTGTATGGAGACAAAGTTTTGGATATGACCCTGAAAATAAAAACCAAGAAAAATTACTTGAGTTACAAAATACTCTGAAGAATGGAAAAACAAAGAAATCTTTGAAGCACAACACATTACTATCTAGAACATACAAGCAATTCAAACTCAAGAACAGAAATCAACCTAACTCAAAAATGAGTAAAGGACCTAAATAGATATTCCTTAAAGTTAGCACAAAGGGAGAAAAAAAGTCCAACATGTCTAATCATCACAGCAGTGAAATCAAAACCATAATGACCTGTCATCTTACTCAGGAATGACTGACATAGAAAAGATAAAATATATTGGCAAAGATCTGGAGAGATAGTCAAAATAAGAAATCAACGTAGGGTCTGTTGGTAAGTGAATAAAGAAAATATGATTTATGTGCCATACATACTATGTATATATGTGTGTGTGTGTGTAAAACACACCATAAAATATTAGCCACAAAGGTAGTAAAATTTTGTTATTTGTAGCAATAGGAATAGAAAAAGAGATTATGTTAAGTGAAATAAGCTAGGCATAAAGGACAAATATTGCATATTCTTTCTGGCAGTGATGGTTAATTGGGATTGTCAACCTGAAAGACTTATAATCACTCAAGAGACAAATCTCCTGTCACATCTGTGAGGGCATTTCCAGAGAGGTTTAACTGAGGAAAGAAGGCCCATCCTAAATGTGGGTGGCACATCTCGTTTCTAGATTGAATAAAAACAAGACTGAACAGAGAATCTGGCATTCATCTTTGTCTTCTGGACTGGCACAATGTGACCAGTGGCCTCCTGCTCTGGCCATGATGGACTATGATCCTCCACTGTGAGCCCAAATACACCTTCCTAATGCTGCATCTGACAGGTATTTTTCCATAGCAATGAGAAAAGTAACTAATACATATATGTAAGCTAAAGCATTAGGAGGAAAGAACAGGGGTTCCTAGAGCTTGGGAAGGGTACACCAGGTTGGGGGTGGGTGGAGAGAAGATGTTTAACAGGTACAGATGTGCCTTTGGATAGGAGGAATACATTCTAGCGTTCTATATCACAGTAGGTTAACTATGGTTGACAATTATATGAAATCTCAAAATATCTGGAGGATTTTGATGTTTTTACCATAAAGAAGTATTAAATGTTTGAGGTGACAGGTATGTTAATTACCTACATCTTATCAAAACATAATGTACGAACTGAAATGTCAGTGCTCCTGTAAACTTTTTGATGTATAGCAATAAAAATTACTATGTATCAATTAAAAACAAACATAAATTAAAAAATCTTGTTATAGAAATGTTTTGAAAACAATTATTTGTTTTGACTTTGAGTTTGGGCAAGAGAAACAAACAGAGTCCTTAGGAGGCTTCTCATTGCTAACAATTTACTGAGTCAAAGTCAGACAGCCTGCTTCTGGGGTCCAGCAGCAGTGTGGAGTGAAGCAGATGCTGGAGAGCACCCAAGGGGTCTTCCAAATAGAGAGCCTGAAGACTCATGAAAAGGAAAGAATATTGCTCCCTTCGAAATGAAGAGTTCTGACAAATCATCGATGGAGTAACATGAACTTACCTCTCTACATCTCATATTAGCCAGCTCCCAAAAGACAAGGATGCATTTAAAAACATCTGGACCCATGGGGCCAACCATGTGTACTGGCCTGACCATCAACATGCCCTAGTGGCACCCATGGTTGGATCAACCTTCATTATTACCTAGTAGCTGTCAAGACAGCATTAAGAATCTGTGAAGTCTACAGATTTCAGAAAATAAGTTAGTGGACACTGGCATAAACTGTCATGTGAAGCTGTGAAACTTCCCAACTGAGAATTTTGGGTTGGAGGCCTGTGAGCTAATTGCTCCCTGTTATTAGGTTACAGCTTCTGCTTTTATCCATAGTAAAACCCTGTGGGGAATCAACAAATTGGAGAGTGACTTGGTTCACAGTGCGGTCACTGTGCTGAGAACTGGAAGCAGCCAAAGTGTAATTGGCACATAAGGGCTGTGAACTCTGATGAGGAAACCCAAGCACTTCTGATGCAGTCACCAAGGAAGCGAGAAATCCCTACTTGACATTCCTAAGAAGTGTGTAAGAGAAACAGAAAATAAGTATGAAAATCCCATTCCAAGAAACTTGGGCATATTCTGACCGCAAACCACATACAAAGGAAAAGGGGTAGGCCCTTACTCTGGCACATCTCTGGGTAAGAATTATAGAGCTCTGACAGTTTAATCAGCTATGATTTCTCTAGCATCCAGTTTAGACGTGTTATGCAAGGTGGATAGGATTTTTCATTTGCTAATAGAAGGCATGAAGTTAGGAGTAGGAGCGGGTATGGGAGAAGGTGAGGGTGGGTATGGGGAAGGAGGTCTGAATATAATAAAAATACACTGCATGAGATTCTTAAATCAAAAAAAAATTTCAAACCTCAAATTTTAGAGCTACCTAAATTAGCATTTAAATGAAAAAATAAAGAAATTCATGCACAAATAAAGTCTAAGAGATTTTAAATGAGGTGTGATCACATGCTTCATTCAATCCATACTGAATTCCTCTTAATAGTGTAAACCCACTGAAGATCCTCCATCCTTGCCTCAGAATAAAGGATCACATTTTGGGATGCAGGTACCTTTTGCCAAGCAATATTTAGGGCTTGGTTTTTCTTTTGGTCAAGGTCTTCTATGGTTGCAAGAATTTTGGATTTGTCATTTTCTACAATCCTCTTCTTCTTCATCAAGTCATTATACTGTGAGAGAAAAAAAAAGATACTTCTTTTGGAAAATACAAAATATTTTCCACATTCTGGAATATAGTTATCCATAAAGCTATTTCATTCTTTTTAAACATAATACAAACATTTACTAAAAAGATATAATATACTAGAACTATAATGCACCCCAAATTACGAGAAAAGTAAGCACATCACCCATACATAAAAAAACTCAATTACCATAACTAAAGCCCTCAAAATATGTCAGCTGCACTAATATTCCCTTATGTCCCTAGCAACCAAGGCAAAAAGGAAAACATTACATGAAAATGTATGTACAAGCCTGAATACTTCTTCAGATCAGCAGTGACATGAATACAATTTTAATTCTTCACAGTAATATGTATGTCCTGTAAAACACAATAGCTGGCCCTTATTTCTCTGACTTTACAAAATCAGTCTCTTTCTCAGGGTCTGCCCATATGGTCTGTGGTTGTTTCAATGAGAACTGTCTCCCACAGGTTCCAAGCGTGTGAACACTTGGGTTAGCTGACAGTGCGGTTTGGGGAGGTCTAGGCAGTACAGCACTACTGGAGGAAACAAGTCACTGGAGGTAGGCCCTTAGAGTTCATAGCCTTGTCCAATCTTCAGTTTGTTCTCTCTGCTTCCTATGCATGCTTGAAGATGCAAGCTCTCAGCTTTTTGCTCTGCCCACCTCCTGCCATGCTTCCTAGCATTACAGATTCTTATCCCTCTGGAACCACAAGCCAAATAAACTCTTCCTTCTACAAGCTGCTTTAGTCATGGTGTCTTGGTTGCTGCTCTATGCTTCCTGCATTGTTCTTTTGCCCTAGACAGCACTTCCTTGTTCTACGTAGCTAATGCTACAGTATCAGTTAGAACTCCTCCGACTGGCCTTCTGCTGAGGGAGGCTGTAGTGGGGAAGCTGCAGGATGAACAGCAGAGAAGCGTTCTTATACCCTCGCTAACCCCTTCTCCTTACAGCGTCAGACTTCAAGGCTTCACTCTTCTCCCTTCGTAACTCCAGTCAGTCAGCCATCTTTCTTCTTGTCCCTCCTGTTTATAGCCAAGTTTGCAGAAACCTCTCTACATTTTAATCTTATTCTTTCCTCTTTCCATTCTGACTGGCCTGGAACTCGCTATTTAGATCAGGCTGGCTTTTAACGCACAGAAATCCACCTGCCTCTGCATCTTGAGTGATGGGATCAAAGGCAAGTGCCACCATGTCTGGCTAATTTCTTATATTTTATATGAAAAGATACAGAACATGAGGGGAGGAGGTCATCTGTTCATCAATATAGAGCCTTCTCCAATTTAATTCCTTAAAAGGTTTTCTTTTGACATTCTTTTTAAAAAAGTGTATCAAACACAGCTATCATGATCTTAAAGTAAACAAGTCCCACAATGTCATACAGTTTAAATTAAAAATTTCCTTCCATGAATATGCCATACATTGCAGTTTTAATGTAGAAATGAAAACTAGCAGGAATAGTTCATAGAAATCACAATACCTGAAATATTCGCTATCTATATAAGATTTTTTACATACTAATATCAGTAGCAACTTAAAAACAGTAACTAAAGCAAAACTTCCTAATTACCAAACTTGTATTAATTTTGTACATCTCATTAATTTTACCTGTAATATGAAAATTCAAAATAAATTTTGCTGAATTAAAGAGAATATGAGGCATAACTATAAAGTTACTGAGACTGTTTGTTCCTATGAGGGTCCAAGAGTAGAGAATCTGCCCTCACTTGGTTTCTCTTGACAGGATCTCTCAAGTTCATCACTAGGTGACAAACTCGCTTCCTGGACTGCTGGAGTTGTTGTCAAGGTAGGAGAGCTGCACACACTATCAAGTTAAGTGAGAGCATTACAACCAAGAAGACCCTGCTGGGTATAGAGTAGTGGAAGGGTGATGTAATGGTGTCAGTAGACACTAGAGTCAAAGGAACAGAATAGCTATGTGATGACGGGTGAGGAGGCAGAGCTGTTTCTCTGCGTTAATCCAGTCAGAATCTTTGACATTTTGGATACCTAGCCACATATAAAAAGAGAAAGAGCTAAAGATATATTCAAACAAATATTTGTAAACCAGTTTCTTGAATGCTTACTAATTTTAAATTAAATAACCCCTTTCCATGGCTTTTTCAAAGCAAGTAAAAGGTATGACAGAACTGAGGAATTACCATTTTCCAAAAGTGTTTTACTTAATATCACATGTAAGAGTAGGGCATGTTTATGGCAAAGAGGAAAAGTCAATGATACAAGAGAATATAAAATGAATTGACACTAGAGAAAGAGCAAAATCATAAGAAAGAAATGAAGAAGAGGGAGGGAAAGGAAAGTAAAAAACCAGAACCCACTACGTTACTCAGGGGCTGACTCTAATCATTACTAAGGGTCACGCACAGTTAGCAGTGCTGTTCTGTTCTAGGATGGAGATGTCACAGGAGACTACGCACCCGCTCTTCAGCTTCCGTCAGCACGTTCATAGCTCTCATGTTGACGTTCCTTCCTAGTTTCTCCTTCACTTCTTGCAACTTTTGAAGTCTCTGACCAGCTTCCTTGGGGTTGTTAGTTTTGAAGTCATAGGCACTATTTGGTTGTCCAAACAGGTGTTTCTCTGCATTAATCCAGTCATAGTCTTTCAACATTTTGGATACCTAGCCACATATGAAAAGAAGAAAGAACTAGAACTGTATTTAAAGTATTTATAAGCCAGTTTTTTAAATGTTTACTAATTTTAAATTAAATACTTGGGCAGAAAAAAAAATATATCATAATGACTCATCTGAAAAACTGAGGTCCCTCACTGCCAGGAGTAAGGGTGAATACTAATAGATGGATAACAGGATCACAACAACAGACTGCAGAGAAAGGTCTTCCTATCGAGCACTAGAGGGGACAACTCAAGGAGAAACTGTCAAGATGAATAGCCTTTATTCTAAAATACTCGGGTCCAGAAGTGGTGTGAATTTTTAAAAAATGGAATATTAACATATACACAATGAGAAATCTTGGGGAGAGACCTAAACAACAGAAAAATTCATAAATATCCCTTATGCATGAAATCTGAAGGTAATTTTACAAACATTTTTACTGCATCTTCACTTTGATTCTGACATGTTATATGCAGTCAAGTGTGAAATTTTTGCCTTATGGCATGTTGGTACTCAAAATGTCTTGAGTTGTGGAGAATTTAGTATTTTCAGATTAAGGATGTTTAATGTAAGACATCCCCATTAAAATGTAATATAGGTCAAATGAAGCTACTTCAGATTTCACCAAATTCAATCTATTGCTTCAAAAACTAACTTTAAGAAAAGATAAAATTACTTAGGAATAACCACAGATTTGGTAAAACTATGGAAGCCTAAATTCTGACTACCTAGTAATTTTTTCAGAATTACAATCTAAAAAAATTGCTGTAAATGTTGACTCTATCTCTACTTTTCATTCTCCCTAAGAAGGCAAAATATACTACTTTTCATTTAATACAACAAACTAAAATTTGAAATTATAATGCCTAACTGTTTTCTTCTACAGTTATATGAGATTTCTTCTGGGTTCCTTGCTGACTTGTAAGATCTATCAAAGTATTGTGTGGACATGTTACTTATTCTTTGATCTATGGTGTAGTGTACAGTGTCTGATATTGTGACTGTATATATATTGCTATGTGTTCTTCAAATTCAATTTGAAGTAAGGTAAAAAAAATACGCATTATCACTACTAATACATTGGCAATTGGTTCTATCAATATGCATAGATAAAGATATTAATCCCTCTGCACATCACTAAATATTACATAATACATCTTATAGAGAAGAATAAATATCCAAAGGTAAATTTAAAAACAAAACATTTGGGCCATTAATTGAAAATGATGATTTCTGATAGTTAACAGAGCTAGCTCTAAGCTCAACTATCTACTAGTCTCTTCTTCTGCCATTTATACTAAGTTTTCCACTGAGCAGTTTTACTTGACTTTTTCAACAACTCCAAAATAAAACTGTGATTATCAAGGAAGTAGAAATGAACATAGCCATGCCTTTGCAGCAGCATCTTCGGCTTCTCGTTTGTGTTTGCTGATGTTGTGGTCTAATTCCTTAATTTTAAGCTGAGAATCATTGTTCTGCTCCTTGTGTTTGGCCACGTCTGCACATTTATCCTTAATGACACTGTCTTGAGCTGTTATTATTTCTTTCTGCTTTGTCAGCTCTTCTTGAGCCTTATTTACTGATTGCTAAAACAACAACAAAGAAATTAGAGAATGCACAGTAAGAACACGTACTATATTTCAGTTTTACTCAGTCTGTCAGACAGACCTCTGAGTAAGACATCAATGTGACTGCAGGCAGATGACCATCTAGCCCTCCACATTTTACACCCACACCAAAATGAGCAATGAATTCAAACATGACAGAAACACTGGATTACCACTAGAGAATCAGGTTGGGTACAATGGTCATAATGTAAATAATTACTAGCCGCACACAATGTAGATAGAATTAAGGGGATACTGTAAGAAAATGGGGCTGTATCTGCTGGTTTCAGTGTGCTTTTCTCAAAGGCAGGTTTATCATGTACAGGGGCTAGGAATCTGAGGCAGCCTGACTGTAAGCCACTATTCCACATGGATGATATGGACCAACCACATGAAAAGGGACCTCCTCCTTTCTCTGAAACCTATAAAAAAGGAACCCCCTCTTAGCTACAGGTGGGCACTACAGTATTGCAGACCAAGATTTGAAGTCTTACATCTGAGCAGCACTTTCTGCTTAGAAACAAAATCATCATTGAGAAACAATAGTCTAAATAACATTTTATATGGACTTAAGCCTAATGTCTGGGAGGTATAATCCCTTCAACTCTTAAAGAAATATACTGATCACTTTAATCTTCGGTTATACTTTCCTTTTGGGTGTTTAAGACCATACAGTTGGCCCAAAGAAACCAATTTATTTGTATTCTTAAGGTCGTCTGAGGATCTGTTCCTCAGGGGTCACATGGGCTTGGGAATTTTCTCCACCTATATAGAGGCCTTTGAGAGGGAACTGACACTAATTCTAGCCTCTCAAAGCTATCAAAACTGACTGAAAACAAATTCTGAGTCCATCACTCTCAAGTCCACTCTTGGCAGACAAAAGAAAAATGAGGAGGAACCCAATAGAGGGATGCTTTTGGAAGTTCTCATCAAGAAATCCCAATGGACTCTGATATGAACATTTGAAATTTGCCCTGTTCTGACTTTTTTCTGGTTTCCTGTTTAGAACTTATAATGCTAACTACTCTTGCCTTTACTTCTGCTTCACATCCCCTATTCACCAATCAAGGACTTTCTTTTCTCCCTACAGATAAGAGTTATATAATTTGGGAGTTTTTTAGATAGACCCACTAAAAGGGTACCCCAATTGCCTTACCCTGAAGTCCCTGTTCAGCACGGAAGAAGCCAGAGCAGTCTGAGTTCCGATTCCCATTGGCTATTTGGGTAACCTCTTCAGAGGATGGTGTAATAAGAGTAGGAGGTAGGAACTGGCTAGGCAGCTAGGGTAAAAAGACCCCAAAGAAAAGTAGCCAGTTTCTTGGCTAAAAGTCAAAATGTCCTTGAACCTCTTAGCAACAAACTCTGTTCCAAAGGCCAAAAACGTCAAGTACTTGAGAGCTTTTAGGGTTACCTCTTCAGAGGGAAGAATAGTAAAAAGGAGAGGGTGAGAGAGGGTGAGAGAGGGAGAAGGAGGGAGGGAGGCAGGAAGGGAGGAAGGAAGGGAGGGAGGGAGGGAGGGAGGGAGAGAGAAGAAAGAAAAAAGAAAAAAAGAAAGAAAAAGAAAGCAAGCAAACATGAAGTTATCAGAAAAAAGTGATGGGGAGATATGGGAGGCATTAGAGGGGAGGAAGTGGGCGTGGATTTGATCAAAACATCTTATATGCATGTATGAAATTCTCAATAAAAAGTTTTTTAAAAGTTAAAAAAAAAAGGGACCCCTACTTTCTGCCTTATGGGCCTGAACTCTCCTGAGTTCTCACCATATTGTTGATCTATGGCACTGGAGCCTGACCTCTCCTCACAATCCCTACAATGTTGTCTTTCCCGGGTGTTAATCGTTCCTAGTAAATCTCTTATCCAAAAGAACAGTTAACCCTAGTGTGCACCTTGGACCGCAAGCCTGAAACCTTTCATTGAGCCTTTTTAATTTCTCCAATGTGATAAATAAATCTTACCTTATTTTTGGCTACCTCGGCTGCCATGAGTTCAATCTGCCCTTCATAGGATTTGATAGCTTCATGGATAGCTTCAAGCTGCTGCTTATTGGATGCATGCTCTCTTTTGAGCTCATCTAGCTCTAGAGTGATGGCTTCAACTTCCTATAGAAACAAGTGGCTAAGGTCAACTGCTGGCATAGAATTTACTTCCAGACAAAGCTAAAAAGCACGTAAATTCTATTCAAGAAGAATTAAGTTACTGCTCAATTACCAAACTTATAAGGTGTTTCCTCCAAAGAGAAAGAAAACAGAAGTTTATTTCTCTTTAAAGAAATGTGCAAACTCCTGGTATGGTTTGTGCATGCCTTTATTCCTAGAACCCAGGAGCCAGAGGCAGGCAGATCTTTGTGAGTTGGAGCTCAGCCTGGTCTATACAGAGTTCCAGTTCAGTCAGGGCTTGATACCCAGTCTCAAAAAATGCAAACCCCCACAAAAGGAAAAAAAAAAAAGGGTATAAATTTTATGAGTAAAAACACACTGCATAAATCATTTCATTATTGTTATAAGACAGAGGAAATAATAAAATCCTACATAACATATGCATTAGTGAGCTTTGTTGACAAAATTATTCAGTGTGTAAAAACACTGGTTTCTTGATTTTTCCCATCACAAACTTTTATTCCATTAGAATTTTGTATGTGTGTGTGTAAAGTACTTAATAAAAGGATCTTATGCTGGATAAAAAAGAAAAATGTGAAGACTTTAGCCTCTGGCAACAAACATTCAAATACCAGCTTCTGTACTATTCAAAAGCTAAAGGTAAGTGTACTGTTTTTTGACACCTTGTAAATATTACATGCTTTCTTTTTGTTTCCTGACTGCACACTCACACAGGTGGTAGTAAACAGAAATATCAACATGCAAATTCGTTCATAAGACCCATCATACAATTTGTTCCTGAGGGAAATAATTATGAAGGGCAGCTTTCATCTTTCCCTAAAATCGAAAACACAACGTGCAGCCACACACAGGCTGTGACTCTCAATTACAGGGTTTACAGAGAATACTGCTTGGCTTCTATGACGCATAATTTACTTCTACGAGAAACTTCCTTAAAATTTTGTGATCAGTACAGTAAGTAAGGCCAACCAATGATGTTTTACCACCTTCTGTTCTATGCTGATTTTAAAGTTTCATTTTAAGGAAGCTCATTACCTGTTGTTTTTCTTTCATTTTCTTGCTCGATGCATCTGCTTTTGTTCTGGTGCAATCCAGTTTTGCCTGAGCATCCTTCAGCTCTTTCTCTCTTTCAGCTTCTGCATTTTTCATCTTTCTCTCCAATGTTTCATACTTTTCTTCGGCTTTTTTCTGGATGTCTTTGGTGTTTTTTAAGGTCTCCTCACTTTCCTCTTAATCATAAATAGTTAAATAGCACTAATTAAACGATTACAGACAAAGGCTTATAAATTCAAGTCAATGTAAGAAATGGCTTGGGAAATTAGACGCAAGAGCTTAAGCATTTTAATGATTAGTCTTATTTTAGAAATGGTATACTGAAATATAAATGCAATAAGAGCCATATATGAATTATTTACACATCTGTGAAATCATTTCTAATGAAGGAACACAGCTCACATGTGTGTGGGGCGGGATTCCTATTTCTGAAATGCTAAGGCTGTTAAGGATGCTTAACTACATCCCCAACCTTACAGCTCATTTTTATACTTCTATGCAGAAATAATGAGACAGAAACAAAGAATCAATGAATTGAAAAGGCAAACAAGATAGACAGACCTTTAACCCAGTTAACCAAAAGAAAGAATAAATCAAAATTAACTAAATCAGAGACGAAAGGGGAAACATCATAACAGACATCAAAAAGATTCAGAACACTGTAATAGAATATTTTAAAACCTATACTCTATTAAACTTGAAAATTTAAGAAAAGAAAAGGAGAAATTTCTAAATTCGTTAAACCAAAGTTAAACCAAGTAGAGATCAAATGCTTAAACAAACCCATAATAAGGAAATCAAAACTCTCCCAACTAAAAAAACCCAGGCCAAGATGGATTTGCAACAGAATTTTACCAGACATTTAAGTTCTACAACCAATAATACTGAAATTTTTCAAAAGGATAGAAACAGAGGAACTCCCAAACTCCTTCTATAACATCAGTATTTCTATTACTAACACAGTCACGAAAAGAGAGAAGGTAGGGACAGGTGTATCAAGGGAGAAAAGGAGGGAACTTTAACTGAGGAAGGAATAGGGAAGGTTATACAGGGAAGTAGAGGAGAGATAAATAATTCTTAGATGTTGTGAAAAATTAGAGGGAAATTAATTAGTTCAAAGTTCTACTGAAAAACACATATACAATAGATAGATGAGTGCATGTGCACAGCTGAAGACTATGTAACAAAACCACAGTGCCAGGCAGAAAAAACCTCCCTTCAAGTTGGTCAGGGTAGGCCAAGAGACTCCCCAAATGACACAGGCTATTGCCATAGCCCTTGATTACCTCCCAGAACTTGAAGGTAAGACCCTACTGAGAAAGACAGGGCACAGGACTTGGAGCAATGGAGCTGGAACTGACCTGGAAGACTCCTCTCTGAAAACTAACTCTCATAGCATTTGATACTATGTAAACTGTCAAGGGAGAAAACCAATCAATGGTCCTACCCAGCTGTAAAGTCCAAAAAAGAACAATGACTGGTCTAGTAAACTGTCACTATTGGTTCAGTAGTGGTGCTTTTATCTTGAGGGCGATCAACAGATGACTAGTTGGAATTACGGACTGTTCAATGGAAGGGAACTTACAGTGGTACTATAAACCTAGCCAAATACACGAGGCTGGAGAGGTCACGGATCTAGAGATCTACTTTTGTCACGTTCCTAGACCAACATAATTTTTTATTGTATTCTAAATATGCATCCTCATATTTACAGACAGGTGTAACTTTCACCACTCATCAAAGATTCTTTTTGCAACAGATGGAGACTAACACCTTGAGTTCCGGAACTGGTGAAACGCACAGAATAAGTGTCTGTGGGGTACTCAGCCCTAAGTGACACATCTTCAATACCACCTCTACATATAGAATGAAAACATCTCTCAGAGAACTTTTCTTACGCAGCAGATGGTGATTAACACAGAAACCCACAAGTGGTCAACATGTAGAGAACAAGAGGTTATAGATTTGGGGAAGTGGGCAAGAAATTCAACCCAAGGAACTTTTGGCAACTCATGGCTCCAGTGGACAGAGCCACTCTGAAGGACATCTGGGGACACAAATCACTCTATAGGCTATAGGCCATATATATATGTCAAGGTACATTAAATTGGTGGGTGCAGTAAGCAGAGGTATGGCTGGGGAGAGGATCTAAATACCATCTAAGTGTACAAAAATTCAATTAAGACAGATCCCAAAAGCCATCATGGGACAAGTTTGTACAGTAATTTTCCGTGCAGAACAATAATCTTAGTGGCATGCAGATTGTGTCCTAATGAATGGCAAACCAAAACAAAATTAAACTCTATGTGCAATTGAATTCTAATAAAAAGAAGAAAGTTTCTTAAAATTAGGGAACTTCATTATATTGAACACTTTTTTATTGTGCTGTATTAAAAACCTGTATAGAAACAATGGGAGAAAACAAGCAACCTACACAAGAAACGGGCAGAGGCTTACTGAAGTGTATACCCAAAGATCCAGTAAGCATACAAAACATATTCCACACTTCGCCAGTTATTAGGGAAGTACAAATTAAACACAAATTTGGATGTTAATGTGCCACCTCTTCACAACCATCAAATTAGAGAATCCCAAAACATCTGGATGAGGATTTAAAGAAATGAGAACTTTCCCATGAATTGATACAAATGAATATTGGTTTAACAAAACAAAACAAAAGGACAGAATTTTGGTGACATGTAATAAAGACAACTATACTCCAAGATCCAAGTCACACACTTCGATTTGCCCTCAGAAGCACCCCCACAAGTGCTCTGAACGCATCTTTTAGGTGTAAGGGAAAAAAGCTAAACACACAAGAGATTACGCTCAGCGGGATTTCATTTTCGTCTTACCAATAGTTTTTTTAAGGGCATCTAACTCTTCTTGCTGCTTGTGATAGGAGCTCTGCTGGAGTTTGGTTTGTAGCAAATCTGCCTCCTCCATTTTCATCTCCCACTGCTGTTTCAGTTGGCGATACCTTAAAAAGAGAAGTTTATACATTTTCTTGGTATTTGATGCACACGGTAAAACTTGAGGCTCAGGGCTGGAGAGGTGACTCAGTGGTTGAGAGTGCTGGTTGCTCTTCAGAGGACCCATGTTCGAACCCCAGCACTCCGTAACTCCAGTTCCAAGGGATCTGCTGCCCTCTTCTGACCTCTGTGAACATTGTATGACACGGATGCACTTAGATACACACAGGGACTATACTCGCACACATAAAATAAAAAAATAGAATATTTAAAAAAAAACTTGAGGCTCTTAGCTGTAATAAACTCATACATAATTTAAAACATTTTATTATTTTCATATTTTTATGTGTATGAGTGTTTGCCTGCACTTATGTAAGTGTACCCATGTCCCACAATACCTATGGAGGTCAGAAGAGGGTGTCAGATTTCCCTGGAACTAGAGTTACAGATGATTGTTAGTAGCCATGTGGGTGCTGGGAATCAAACCCAGGTCCTCTGCCAAGAACTGCCATTGCTCTTAACCACTGAGGCATCTCTCCAGCCCCCTCATGAATAATTTAAACAAAATGTGGTATTACTATTTATAACAAAAAGTTATTACTGAAGTCAACAGCTGTAACTGACCAAGATCCAAAATAACTATTTGTGAAAGCATAAATTTTAGAAAACACTAAAAATGGTCTTTGAATAAATAAGTTTAAATATAATTCCACCCGATTCTTCCCTAAAACTCCACAATCACTAATTACTACTAAAATAAGATTGACAATTACAGAAAATTCCCCAAAATATTTCTACTTATTAGCCCCCTTTTCAAATATTAATAACAATATTGTTACCCACTGTTTATAACGAAATAAACAGTTTAAGAAGTCATGGTACTGACCTTAACCATTTGCAATATGCTTTTTGTCAGTGCTATAATTCTACCCATGTTTTGGCTGCCTAGTCATTTCTTTGGAAAGCATTTAGCTAGTTCAGTTGCAGTGAAATTTCAAGTTAACAGAAATCACAACATATCCTTGTCACTACAAATTCATGAAGCTTAAGAGCAAAAGAATTGACTCAAAATATAAATACTACCTCAAGTATTCTTACTGGAAACTTCCTGACAAAAAGCAAAACAGTTATTTCAATTTCAAACCATTCAAAAAATGTGGAATATAAAAGTTTTGACGGAAAGTATACCAATTTCCTGATACAATATATGAGAACAGTCTTAGTGGATCCTTACATTCAGTTTTCAAAATAAAATTCTTTTACCTCAGTGCTACAATTAGTCAATAAGGCAAATCTGTAAAGAAAAACTCACACTACTGAAAAAAATTGAAGTGAAATCAAAACTACAAAGTTATCACCTTGGTAGATTGTCAACAAAACAGAAAAGTTTTGCTGCATTTTTTTTTCACAGAGAAAATTCTCACTTACTCTACAAACAATTTATACTGAGATAAAAAGAAGGGTTTACAGCATGTATAAAATAGGTATTTTGATACAATTCAAATACTGGATTGGCTCCTGACTGATATATACAGAGAATGCCAAAAGTCTTGGTCACATTTTTAAACTTCACAGATTAAATGCCTATAGACTTACAAAATACAAATCATTTCAACACTTAGGTTTAAAAAAAAAAATTCAGGCTTGTGAATTCTGAACACAATTTTTTTTTAATCACTTCCTGTTTGCCATCTTACAAAGAACTGGGAAAAAATGTAATTAAAATTTCAAGCACTGTTTCTATTTGTAGCACTATAGTGCTGAAACTTTAGAGCCCACTTCTAGGTAATCAGAGATTCACACAGCTTGGAGATGTCTGCTCAGGAGTCCTGGTTGCAGAGGCTTTTCTTGGTCACCAACCAAAGTTTCAGTACCACCTTGTTCCTGGATAGCTCCTAGTTTCTTTCCAACTGTACCTTTTTTTATCTTTAAATTTTATTATTTTTATTTTGTGTGTATGTGTGTATTGCCTGTGTGTAGGTAAGTGCGCCCGTGTCATGCAATGCTTGTGGAAGCCAGAAGACGCTGTCAGATCCCCTAGGACTGGAGTTACGGACAATTGTTAGCTGCCATGTGGGTGCTGGGATTCGAACCCCGTCTTCTGCAAGAACAACCAGTGTTCTTAACTGCTGAGTCATCTCTCCAGCCCACCCGGCAACTGTTCCTCTTACTTTGTAGAAATCTAACATATTTTACCAATTTATCTTATTTATCCTCATCTACATCAAACTAGAGGAAGGCAGAAATACTGGATCTGTTATTATATGAAGAGTATTTGGCACAAGGAAAGCATTTGATAAATATGTATTTAAGCGAATACTATTTAGTGACAAGGAGGTTAAACATCAGCTCACTTTTGGGAAAAAAAAAAGCATCTACCTGAATTATACACAAAAAAGTGATGTTCAAAAAAGTAGATATACATGTTGGGCATGATGGATTACACCTTTAATTTCAGCATAGCAGATCTCTTTGAATTCGAAGATAGCCTGAACTACATAATGAGACCCTGTCTCATTAAAAAAAAAAGTATACAAACAACTAATTTATACACATAAAATGCTGTAAGAGAACATTCCTGAGCACAAACTAAAAAGGACTCTACCATAGATACATGCATATCCATGTTTTACTACTGCTGTTCTATTCACAAGAAGGAAATGTAATCAACTGATGTTCACCTATGTGTTATACACAAGATTTTATTCAGACATAATAAAAAATAAATTACGAAATTTATAGGCAAATTGAAAGAAGAAAATATTAAGAGAGGTGAGTCAGGTTCACAAAGATAAATACTCCAAAGTCTCTCATATGAAGATATTAACTTCTAAATTTTATATATGTCTATTTATGAAAGTGAGTATGAACTACATCATGAACTAGAAAGGGGATCATGAGTTCATGTGTACAACTGATTACGATCTAGTATATGAAATTCACAGAAACTCAATAAAAATTTATTTTTAATTATGTGTAAGAGTGTTCTGCCTACATTTATGAAGGTGCACCTGTGTTGTGCAATGCTTATAGAGGCCAGAAGGGGGCATCAGATCCTCTGGAACTGAAATTAGGGACAGTTGTAAGCTACCACATGGATGCTGGGAACCAAACCCAGGTTCCCTCCAAGAGCAGCTGATGTTCGCAACCACTGAGCCCTCTCTCCAGCCCCAAAAAGGTCTTAAGGAAGGCATGTGGGAGAGTAAGAGAACACATGTGATATGCAAGTGGAGCAGGAATAATGGGGACAGATGACTACAAGCAGGGAGGGAGTCAGGGAGATGGGGGTGAGGAGTGTGTGTGGTGGCTGTGGTGGGAAAATCAACCTAAATAAAACTATGTATGAACATGCCATAAGGAAAACTAATTTTATATGTGAATTAGAAAATAAGTTTTACTGTTTAATTTCTGATATGAACCTGTTTACGTCCTCTTCAGGTAACCCACTGATCTAAATTACTGAAGGACATAGTGCTGGAAACTTGATGCTGACACCTATCAATGCTACACTGCACGTAGTACATTCAAATGAAGAACTCAAGTATCTTCTGGAGTCTGACTTGAGATCATTAACAAGTTTCTCCATCAAGTCCAATGGGACACTGTCTTATCTCTGCAGCAAAAGAGAAGGACTTTTCCCCCATTTGCTTAACTATATTCTGTTAACTTCTTTTAGCAAAGACATTCCTTTTATCAGAAAAAAATGAATTAAAAAATTAGATTCAAAATTCATTCCAACATTTACAATAAAATCAAAGACAGTAGCAGACTATAAGTAAATTTCCAATCATCATCTATCACAAAGAGCCATTTGTGTTGTGCCGTAATTCAACAGAAGCCTTACTTCTCAGCAATGTTTTTAAGACCTGCTAATTCCTTTTCTAGAGCCTGGAGCTCATCCTCCTTCATCTTCAGCTCATCCTGAACATCTTTGAGTTCTTGAAACTTGGTTAAAATAGAAGCTGCTTGGGATCGAGAACCTGATAGAGGCAAATTTAGAAAGGTCTTAGACAAGTTACCACATGCTTATTAATAATATATTCTTTAAGAGAATTATCCCGGAAATGATGCAACAGCAAATGCCCTAGTCAACTTACGATGCAAGGAACCCAGGCCTTAAAACATATCTAGTTCTAGGTAGAATAATCTAAGTACTAAGGGCTGTACTATTACCATCTCCTAACATAGCCTATGTTATCATCTGCTGCACAGCAGGCAGAGTAAACTGGCTTTACATATGGATGTATAAGCAACCATAATCATCTGGCAGTGACTACCTGAGATGTTACACAGACAGAAAACCCTTGGGTTTGATGAAAGGAATGCTAAAGTCAATTAACAATGCTACTAAGAACACCATTAGTAAGATATAGTACTCTATATTTGTAGAAACTTCAAGAGTATCTGAGTCAATAAAGTCTAAAGAATTTCTTGTTTTAGAATATTTATATTATCTTCCATGAAGATACTAGTGCACAATCCTAAATATTGCCCAGTACAAGACACCAGTGGATGAACCCACACCAAAGGGCAATTGGAGACACTACTGTCTGACTCTACAGACACAAACATGGACACGCACACACACAGACACACAAAAACACACTATATATAGAGACAGCATACCTATATAATATACGTATGCTAATATGGACACATAGACACACACACACACACACACACACACACACACACACACACATGAGAACAGGAAATCCTGTGGAGGGCAGTATGAGTGGTGCAGATGGGAAGGGGATGTAAATATGATTAAAATATACTGTATGAAATTCTCAAAAATTCTATAAAGAAAAAGAACAAAAAAAATGAAAATCAGGTGAAAAAAAGGACATTTTCTAAAATAAAAACAGTATCAATAAAAATATTGCCTGGTACAGAGAAATTATTATTCCTTCTTATTATACATCATAGTACAGATCTTGAAAATAAATGTAGCAAATACTAGAGCATGATCATTGTGCAAGAATTTCTTTGCTGTGGCCTTTAGGCCCTGTTGCTAGTTCCAACAGGAGCAGCAGCAACACTGGAATGTAAGCTGGCATTTTTCCAGAAAAAGTGGGCAGTTAGGCTAAAAAAATTACATGAAAAAACTTTACTTCTCTGTGGCTACAACTGAGCAAAATACATACAAAAACAAGACTACACTCCTATCAACCTCTCAGTGACTGGAGCATCCTGATAAGAACAAACAGGAATAGATCAGAGTTGAATGCAAGAAGCTACAGGACTGATTGGCATGCCACAGCTCCTTGGAGCTGTATCACTACCTTGTGGAGCCCCATTCTGTTTACTCAGCATCAGGAAGACAGTGAAGACCTAACCTACCTCCACTCAATGTCCCATGAGGATCAAACACTTCACCCTCTAGAGTTACAGTTCTAGTCATTATCCTCTTGTCAAAGGCTACTTTTTTAGCATTATCCATATTGTTACAAACAAATGTTGTTCCAAAGACAAATTCCATTGCTTTCTGAAGTTCCGGTTTGTATTCAACCAAAGAAAGAGCAACATGGACGTTGTTAGGACCAACCTGCGGGAAAACAAAAGATGTGCCATGGGAAGTATTATTACATAAAATAGCAAGAACTGCTCAGATTCAAGTGAAAGTTAACTAGTATTAAATTTTTTACTTGCTAAAAAACGTTGTGAAATTCAAAGCTTAAAAGAAATATTAAGTTTAAAAACTGAATGATCTACTGCTAAACTAAAACAGTTTGTGGAAGTACCAAGCATTTTTAAAAAAATATTTTATTATTTTTATGTGTATGAGTGTATTGCCTGCATGTATGTGAGTGCACGCATGTTGTGCAATGCCGCAGAGGTCAGAAGAGGGCATCAGATTCCCCTGGAACTGGAGTTAAGGACAGTTTGTAGCTGCCACATGGGTGCTGGGAATCAAACCTGGGTCCTCTGCAAGAGCAGTCAGTGCTCTGAACTGCTGAGCCATCTCTCCAGCCCCCAGTACCAAGCATTTTTAAGTTCCTTTTAGAAAGGAGTCAATACCAAGTTCCTAAATCTTGGTCTACATAAACACTACTTTTCTTAAAGCAGTGATTCCCATATCAACAGTGTTACATAAAATGTTCATAAAATGTTTGTTTCAATTATTAGTAACTTGGTTGTTTCACAGTGAACACTTTTTCATTCAAATTAAATAGACTACAGCAGATACAGATCAGTAACAGAAATAAAAGCACAACCAGTAATTCAGGAAATAAAAAGATTAAAAGCCTTTAATCTATATAGATCTGCTGCCTCTTCATGAACTTTGTTTACAATTCCAACTCTGCCCATCTTGTAGGAAAAGCTAAGCACTCCTTATGGCAGTGTCAAAAACATAATAAAGGCAACTATGTAAAGTTCTGTTTTCTGAGGCGACAGTCACCACTGAACAGGTGAGGTTACAAAATTTAAGTCAATTTCTATCTCTCTGCCCCCCCAACCTCAAAATTAAAAAAAAAAAAAAAAAAAGACAAAAACTCAACCATCCATTGTAGCTTTGTAAATGTAAATATATTTCCCTATACATGTCTTTTTCCTCACTAGCAGACACACTACTACAGAATCACCTCAGCAGCTGACTAGGATTCTACATGAGTAAATTTGTGTTTTCTAATATGAAAAAAAGATGAAATATATAATTAAGACAACGTAAGACTTACAAGATTCTGAGCGATTCTCAGAGTTTCTGGAGCAATACATCTGGCTGAAATTTTATTGAGAGGAATTATTGTGTAACGACGCTTCAATTCCCCCTTTTCTAGTAGCTTTTTACCAGTAACCTAAAACATGCATTTAAAAGTTTAAGAAAAATTATTAATGATGACTAAAAACATTAAAATGCAAAGTGCAAGTCTAGGGATCCATCATCAAATACATCTTCAGTGTGTTTATCCCCAGCAACTACAATTTAAGAATATATAAATGGACCATAATCCAGCCTAGAAACATGAGATGCTGACATCTATGACCACATGAAGGATCTGAGAAGGCATTTTTACTAAATGACTTAAGTCAGATACAAAACAGGAAAAACTATTGTATGATTGCATCTATATGCAGAATCTTATAGAAAATAGAATAGAGTAGAACAGAGGGTTAGTTCTAAGGAGCAAAGGGGAAGAAAATGCACAAAAGCAGGTACAGGGAACACATCTGCAATCAGATGGGATAAATAAATCTACAAATCACAATTTTGAAACTGAGGGCTGTAGTCAGTTTACACGAATAAAAAGCATTCTACAGTGGGAATTGAAGAAATGCAGATAGAGCCAATGTTATTGCTATAGGAAGAATGAAATTCAGATTATTTTATGATTTTTAAATAAATACAAATTTGCCTGGAAAAAAAGAAAGTAAAAATTAAGCATAAATTGGAACTACGTTATCAAAAAAAAAATCACTGAACAGTTTCATTATAAAAAGATTAAGTGGCCTAGGAGACTTAAAAATCAAGTACCAAATTTTTCTAACAGTATATGATTTTTATAGCAAATAGTAATTTAACTTTTAGCTAAAATTAATTTACCTCTGTGTCTACCACAACATTGTACAGTCGTTCCCCAGCCACTAATTCTAAAGCTGTGGCTGCAGAATTATCTTTCACACTAATCAGAGAAGCCACAAGTCCTTTCACACAATCTCTATTCCAGTTCCTCTCTGGATCCTTGTATGCAAATCGAAGATTGGGAAATCTGGCTAGGAGTGCTTCGTATGTTTCCTTCAGTCTACTGATATTGCAAGACAGCTCCCTGTGCTTTTCCAGAACTCTTTCCTCTTTATTTTCTTCTAAAAACAGAAAACATGATCAAAATTAACCTTACATGAAAAAATTCAAAAGATTGTACTATCTGAGTCAAAGTTCTAAAGCAAAAGAAAAGTTTTACCAAACCCAAATTCTAAAATGTCAGCTATTGTTTTCTGTGTATGCTTGTGTCTGTGTAGGAGTATGCATATGGGAAGTGGGCATTAAGTAACCCTACAACTGGAGTTACAGGTTATGAGCTGTCCGGTGTGGGTGCTGGGAACCTAACTTTGTTCTGCTACAAAAGTATGTGCTCTTAATCACCAAGCCATCTCTCCAGCCCCTTTCAGTAAATTTTCCATGTAATGGAAACAATTTTAATGTTCTAATCTCTGTAACACATGAGTACTGTTAAGCCCAACTCATTAATAGTAGGGGACTTCAATATCCCACTATCTCCATTAGATAGGTCAACAGGCCAGAGACTTAACAGAGAGACATCTGAATTAAACAAAACCATATATCAAATGGACTTAACAGATATCTACCTAGTATTCCACCCAAACACCAAAGGACATACTTTCTACTCAGCACCCCATGGAACTTTCTCCAAAATCGACCATATACTGGGGCACAAAAAAAAAGCTCAGCAAATACAAAAAGATTGAAATAATTCCATGTGTTCTATCAGACCACAATGCAATAAAGCTTACAATCAACACCCGAAGAAGACAAAATCACCACACGAACACATGGAGATTAAAC